ACACGCACACACGCACACTCACACACACACTCACACACACGCACACACGCACACACGCACGCACACTCACACACACACACACACTCACACACACGCACACACGCACACACGCACACGCACACTCACACTCACACACACACTCACACACACACGCACACACGCACACACACACGCACGCACACTCACACACGCACACACTCACTCACGCACACACGCACACACACACACGCACGCACACTCACACACTCACACACACACACACTCACACACTCACACACACACACTCACACACACGCACGCACACTCACACACACACACTCACACACACGCACGCACACTCACACACACACACACACACACGCACGCACACACACACTCACACACTCACACACACGCACACACGCACGCACGCACACTCACACACTCACACACACGCACACACGCACACACGCACACTCACACACTCACAGGCACATCTCGTCTCCCCATCTCCCAGCCGCCGCCCGCCCCAGCCCCTAGTGCAGCCCCGCGGCCGTCCCTCCGGTTTCCGCCCCGGCCTCAGTTTCCCCCTCGGGCCAAACGCCGGCGGGTGGGCGCCGACGGGGATCGCGCCCTCGCGGGGCCCCCTGGCTCGGGTTCCGGGGCGCCCCGTCCCCACTCACCGGCGACGAGGAGGACTTGCTCCGGGAAGGGTGCTGCGCAGCGGGAAGTGGCCGCCGAGGTCCGGGCCCGCCCGCCCGGGGCAGAGAGGCTCCGCCCGGCTTGGCGGGGAGCCCGGCCGCGCCCTCTGGCTCGCCCGCGGGACGGGGCGGGGCGGGGCGGGGCGGGGCGGGGAGCTCCCTCCCCCCAGTGGCGGTGCCAGCGAGACGCGCTCTGCCTCACCGGCCACCAGCAGGTCTCTGGGCTCCCCCTCCCCACAGGTCCCCGCCGCGACCCGACTGGGTCCGCAGGCCCGTCGCTTCTCTTGAGCCTCACCTTTCCCGTCTGTAAAGTGGGTCAACAGAGATGGGCTCAGAGAGGGGAACTGCGTCGCTTGATGGCAAAACCTGAACCCCCACCTACACAGCAGCCTGGCCCACCGTCTGCGGAGGAGCCCAGGGCAGGAGGCAGCCTCACCCTCCCCTGGCTGGTTCCTCGGCCTCCATGTCTGTACGGTGGGCGCAGGCGGGGGACTAATGATGCGCCTAGTGATGCAGGCCTTGCAGGCCCGTGGTGCTCGGCGAATGGAGGCTGCAGGCATCACAGCCCAGAGGGGCCTCCAGTTTGCCAGGGCCGTGGGCACCCCTTCCCATCTCACAGGCTTTATCACTGCAGCCGGGCCTGTCGGCGTGGGCTGACCTGGTTGGCAGAGCCCTGAGCCTGCGGGATCACAGCGCCCACACTGTCCTGGGGAAGGTGGGCCGCACCGCCTCTCCCCGGGCTCAGCAGGGGCCTCCTGGGCACAGGTCCGACTTTCCGGGGCCCTGGCTATTTTGTCCCCATGGCCCTTCCACCTTCCACTGCACTGCTATGATGGCCAGTAAAATCCAGGCTAGACTCCACCCACTTTTCCTTCAGGTTTTAAAAGGAATGAAGGTATTTGCCCCAGGTACTGTGCCTCCGCTCCCAGTGAAGGCGGCCTGGCCAGGCCTCCCGGAGCTGCCAGCCTCGGCCCCTCCTGTGCAGAGGTGCCCGTGGCTTGGCCCAGTGACACACTTTCCTCTCTGGGAAGACCCGTGGGAGAAAGCGTGTGGCTTCCCTCCAGCCTCGCCCCTGCTGCGTGCAGGCTGCGGGCCCACGGGGCACCCCGGGTGGCAGAGACTGCTGTCCCTACTACTTGCTGCACACAGGCCAGAGGGAGGGCTGGGCACAAACCCCCAAGGCCCTGCCCTCATGGAGTTAACAGCCTTTCTCAGGTGGGAGCCTGCAGCTCCGAGGACTCGCGGAGGTCTGGGTACGGCTGCACCTGTCCATTGTTCTGCCTGTGTGCCTCCGTGACTTCCGCCCCCCTCCTCTCCAACCAGCCAGTCTGCCTGCACCTGGGCAGCAGCCACAGCCCTAGCTGCCCCTCGCTCCCGTCCACGCCCTTCCTCCACCAGAACCCTCCGAGGCTCCCACTGCCTCAGCAGCCAGCCCAAGCCTTGTGCCTGGCACTCAAGGCCCTGCCAAGCTGGGGTCAAGCTGGCTACCCACCCTCCCGCCTCTCTGCCTTTGCACATGCTGTTCCCCTGCCTGAGCACCATTCCCCACCCCTCCCCCCGGGTGTCTCCACGTGTCCAAGTCTGACTGCTCTCCAGTGTCACCCAGGAAGCTCTTCCAGAACCCCAACTCTGTGCACCCTCCACTCCAAGTGGGCTGTGACCTCTGAACTCCACAGCGCTGAGCATGGGAGCGTCCTTGGGCGTTTGTCATGTGCCAGCCTCTAGGGGCATATGTATTGAGCGCCTGGTTGATTGACACTTGGCTAAGAATTCAAAGGTGGAGACATTTGTCCCTCAGCGTCATGAAGACGGGGCCTCCCAGCCGCCACAGAGCTGATGAGAAGGCCGAGGCCATTCTGTGCTTCAAGCCTTCGGATGCAACCCATTTCGTTCTTCCCGGGAGATTTTAAGATTTTTGCCTCCAAAGTCCTGACATTTCACACTGATGTTCTTCTCCGTGCATCTAATTCCATCCGTCATGCCAGCACACAGGCGCCCATTCACACAGGAAGCTCATACCCTTTATTTTCCAGAAAAAAATTAAAACACTGGTTTCCTTCCCTCCGTTTCTCACTTCTCTTTCTGGAAGCCCAGTGACTCAATGCCCTGGACCTCCTGGCTGTCTTCTCACTTCCTTTTCTCTCCTACTTCTCCTGTTCGGTTCTTTCTGCTTTACCTTCTGTGCGGTTCCCTCAGCGTTCTCTTCCTGGCCTTCTCTTGTGTTCTTCAAGTTCGCCCTCCTGTTTTTCCTTTCCAGGGATTACTTTTTGTTTTCTGAATGCTATTTTTTACTGTAACTTCCTGTTCCTTTTTCATGAATGCAGTGTCTTCTCTTCAACGGCAGTTTTCTTTTGTCTCTGAATCCTGTGCGGTTTTTGTTTTCTGTTCGTAATTTCCTGCGATGCCTAGGAATCTTCGAAGGCTGCTCATGGTTAGAAAAGAAAAAAGGAGGAGAATAAGTCAGTGGATGGTACTTGTTGGTTCAGCTTCACTTTAAGTTGAACTTGGTGGGCCATTTGGGAACTTCCTGGACTGTCAGTCTTCAGGATTTTCATCTTGGACCTGGTCAGATTCCCCAAGGTCCTCCAGGCCCTTGCTGGAGGGGAGGGGTCTGGCTCCGGCTTCTGGGAGCTCCGTGTCTCCGCATTCAGCATCCAGTGCCCACCTGTTTCGGCAGAGTGCCCACACCCACCACTGTCCCTGGCGTGCCCAGCCCTTTCCAGAGCTCATCTCTGGATATTTGCTAGAATGGGGAGGGGCACCACTCAGTGGCTAAAGAGGAGGGGATCCAAAGATCTAACTGTTCCTCAAAGACACCTCCAAATGGTTTTCTTTACCATGGTGCCTTTCGCCTCAGATCTAGAAGCAGCCAGTGCTACCAGCTCCTAAACTTTGCTGTTGTGTGAATAGGGGTTGGTCCCCAGCTCCGCTGCCGGAGGGATTGGCTGCCTGGGGGCCGCTAAGTCAGGTCACACTGGTCTGCCCGCTTTCTGGCTTTAGACATGCTGTTGCGGGGCCCCTTTCCTGTTCTCCCTGCCTCTGTGGGTTGATGTCTTTAAAAGATCCCTTTGCTGGGGATTTATGGGCTTCTGGAGACTCCATTCCTGTCTCAGCCTGAAACTCTCCTCCATGTCTGTTATGATCACAGCCTTGTATTAGATTCGCCATCACTCACTTCACTAATCTCCTCTGTTGGGCACACAGCTTATTCCCACTTTTTCTTTGTCAAAAGCAAGGCTGTCACGATGTCCCAAGAGTTAGGGCTTTAATTCTCAGGACACACTCACTGACGATTTGCTGACATCATTCTGCCTCGATCTTCCTCATTGTGAGTGTGTAGTGAGTGTGTAGTGAGTGTGTAGTGAGTGTGTAGTGAGTGTGCGTGTGTGTGCGTGTGCGTGTGTGTGTGTGTGTGTCCTGGCAGGGAATGAGAGAGAAGCAAAGGGCGAGGTGTATGTATGTGATTAGGGCAGTGGTTCTCAACCTTCCTAACACCGCGACCCTTTAATACAGATCCTCATGTTGTGGTGACCCCCAACAAATTGTTACAAATTGAACATAATTAAAGCATAGTGATTAATCACAAAAACAATATGTAATTATATATGTTTTCCGATGGTCTTAGGCGACCCCTGTGAAAGGGTCGTTTGACCCTCAAAGGGGTCGCGACCCACAGGTTGAGAACCGCTGGAGTAGGGTGAGGTCAGGAGATAGACTCTCTTTGACCCAGCCTCACACCAGCACGCAGAAGCCAGGGGACCCCAATTTCCATTCCTCTTCTGCCACCCACTCTTAGAGCCTTTGTCTGCTCACCCATAAATGGAGGACAACAGTGCCTATTCATCAGAGTGTAGCTGTGAGACATTAAATCAGCGAATGTCTGAAAAATATCCAGGGCTTTCTTCGGTGGAACAAACATTTATTGGGTGTTTATTAGGGGCTATGCACCGTGTCTGGTTTGCAGGAAACATTAAACAAGAGAGCTGTTCACTTGCTTATCGCCCAGTGTTGCTGGGAGAATCAAGGAAGTACTCAAAGAATGGAGGCGTTTCAAGCACCTTCGGGTGCCAGTAGAAAGCGTGACCATTGCTTTGCGCAGTGCTGTTTACTCAATAAATACTTTTAGGGCTCATGGTGGTGCAGGCTCGCGTTTTAGTCTCTTCCGTGGGGGTTGAAGTTCCGCACCGGTCACCCTAGTCGCCTGCACACAGCAGTGGAGTCGCGAGCGGGGCCGGAACCAGGAACGGCGGAACCTTTCTTCCCGCCCCGGGTGCCCGGTCCGCCCGGGAGGAAATGCGTCAGGGACCGCGTCGCGTCGCGCCGCGCCGCCGCAGTCGTACGTCGGTCGCCCGGGTAACGCGCGTGGGGCCGGGTCCTCAGCATGAGCGTCCGCGTGGCGCGGGCCCTGGGGGCCTGGGGCTGGGGCGCGGGCGGCTGCCGCGGCGCCTCGAACTTCCGGCCGCCTCCGCCGGGCTCCGTGGACGTGGCCGAGCTGCTGCGAGATGCGACCACGGCGGACGAGGAGCCCCGGGAGCCGGCGGCGCGGCGGCTGCCCGGCCAGTGCTCGGTGCTGCTCTTCCCGGGCCAGGGCAGCCAGGTGGTGGGCATGGGCCGCGGGCTGCTGCGCTACCCGCGCGTCCGCGAGCTCTACGCCGCCGCGCGCCGCGTGCTGGGCTACGACCTGCTGGAGCTGAGCCTGCGCGGGCCGCAGGAGGCCCTGGACCGCACCGCGCACTGCCAGCCCGCCGTCTTCGTGGCCTCGCTGGCCGCCGTGGAGAAACTGCAGCACCTGCAGCCCGCGGTGAGGCCGGGCTCCCACGGGGACACGCCGGGCGGGGTCCGAGCGCCCACTCCGTGCCAGGCGCTGCTCTGGGCGCCGGAGGTTCGGCCATGGACAGAAACCAAGGACCCTGCCCTGAGAGCTTGCATGGAGGGAGGGAGACATGATCAGGAGTAAATGCGCTGGGTACATGGCATAGTGTGTTAAAGACAAGTGTTGCACGAAGGGAAATAGCGCAGGGGCTCGGGAGTCAAGGGCCGGGTCGCTGTTTTAAATGATCCTTGATTTAAGTCCTAAGTGAATTTGAGAGGCTGGAACGTCATCCCTAACGGTCATTGAGAGGATGTCACTTCACCTGCAGGTGTGAATTGACTGCTGTTATGATTTAACACGATCAAGACAGGAAGTGTGCCCCTGGCTGGTTTGGCTCCTTGGATAGAGCCTTGGCCTGCAGACTGAAGGGTCACGGGTTCGAGTCTAGTCAAGGGCACGGAGCTCGGTCGGGGTGTGTTCGGGAGGCAACCAATCGATGGGTCTCTCTCACATTGATCTTTCTCGCTTTCTCTCTCTCACTCCCTCTAAAAACCAACGGAAAAGTATCCTTGGATGAGGATTAACAAAACAAAACAAAAACAGCCCAACAGCCCTAACTGGTTTGGCTCAGTGGATAGAGCTTTGGCCTGCAGACTGAAGGGTCCCAGGTTCGATTCCAGTCAAGGGCATGTGCCTTGGGTGCGGGCATATTCCCGATGGGGGGTGTGCAGGAGGCAGCTGATCGATGTTTCTAACTCTCTATCCCTCTCCTTCCTCTCTGTAAAAAATCAATAAAATATATAAAAACAAAAAAACCCAGCCCAACAACACAGTAAATGTGAAGCTAGTACTTTAAACCCTTCACTCCGTTCCATCCTCACAGCCTCGAGGGGAAGAGACTGTAGTTTGTGGATGAGGAAAGGAGACTCAGAAAGGAAAGGGCGCAGCTGCGTGGTCCTCCTGAGCTGTGACAACATTCACGGAGGGCTGACCCACCACCTTCGCGTAATTCTCTCAGCCGCCCTGGGGCCGGGTCCTGCTCCTTCCTCATCTCACGGATGAGAGAACTGGCTCAGGGAGGTTAGGGGACTGTCCCAAGCTAAGAATCCAGTCCCACGCTGGGTGACACGGAAAGTCGTACTTCTCACTTCTGTGCTTAGCTGCCTCCGGCTCCCTCTGGCCTGGGAGGCGGCTCCGGGGCCTCGGAGTCAGCCAGGGGCCTTCACTTGCCGAGGAAGTCCTCACCAGGAACGGGCCTGGGTCCGCGATTGTCTCTGAGAGCTGGAGCCCCAGGCCCGCCCAGCCTGGCTCCCGGAGCCCCCGCCGGCTCTCCAGAGCAGAGCTCGACTGTGTCCCGAGAACAGGCCTCACGTTCTGCATCTGTCACCGCAGGTTATTGAGAGCTGTGTCGCCGCCGCTGGCTTCAGCGTGGGAGAATTCGCAGCCCTAGTGTTTGCCGGAGCCATGGAATTCTCTGAAGGTACCAGAGAGGGCTTTGGTGTGGCGCAGGGCTGTCATCTTGCTGGGCTCACTAGAGAGAAGGGACATTGCCAACAACTCCGCACCCACGAGGGAGCTAGAGGGGCATATAGATAGGGATGCCATGGAACGAGGCCCATACGGCACCTGATTCTCTCAGGCTGGGAGAGCTCATCGGGTTTCCTTTCTTCTGTGATCTCACGGGATCGCGTGCTTGACCGTCTTCCCCGCTGTCCTGTACGTTCTTGGTCCACCACCCGCCTTCAGTGCCCGTCACCTGCAGACACTCAGTGCAGTTCACTGAATGGGAAGGAGGAAGTGGAGTTTGATCTTGAGTTTCACTTCGTAAGAGTTTGCATAGAGTTAAGAGTTTGCATAGAGTTGCACTGCGTAAGAGTGTTTGCAGTTGGCCCCTCTGGCCTGCGTACCTGGCTTGGGGCATGCTCAGTGCAGACAGGAATCTGAGTGAGGAACCCTGGCCAAGGACTTGAATAGACATTTTTCCAAAGATACACAATGGCCAATTAGCACATGAGAAGATGTGCCACATTGCTAATCATTAGGGAAATGCACATCGATACCACAGTGAGCCCGGCTGGTGTGCTCGGCTGTTGAGCATCGACCCATGAACCAGGAGTTCACAGTTTGATTCCGAGTCAGGGCACATGCTTGGTTTTCGGGCTCGATCCCTATTAGGGGCCGTGCAGGAGGCAGCCAATCAGTGATTCTCTCTCATCATTGATATCTCTATCTCTCCCTCTCCCTTCCTCTCTGAAATCAATAAAAGCATATTTTAACAAAACAACAAACCACATGAGATACTACTTCACATCCACCAGGATAGCTCTTTAAAAATTTATTTTTCATTTATTTTATTTTATTTTAATATATTTTTATTGATTTCAGAAAGGAAGGGAGAGAGAGATAGAAACATCAGTGATGAGAGAGAATCATTGAACGGCTGCCTCCTGCACGCCCCCGACTGGGGATTGAGCCCACAACCTGGGCATGTGACCTTGACCAGAATCAAACCTGGGAGTCTTCAGTCCGCAGGCTGACACCCTATCCACTGAGCCAAACCGGCTAGGGCTCCACAGGGATGGCTTAATTTAAAACATCAGTAACAAAAAGGAAAATAGTAAGTGTTGGCAAGGGTGTAGAAAATAGGAACCTTCCACGGTGCTGGTGGCAGTGTAAAATGTGCAGCCGTTGTGGAGAAGCGTGGTGCTTCCTCAGAAAGCGAAGCATAGAATCACCGGTGAGCCAGGTGTGTTCCCGGAGGTCTGTACTAGGATGAAAACATGTCCACCCAGGAAAACGTGTACACAGATGTGTGCAATAGCCAGAGGCGGAAGCAGTACGAATGTCCATCGTCAGATGAGCGGAAAAGCTGATCACGTGTCCGTGTGGAACATTAGTCAGGAGAGCAGAGGGGTGAAGCACCGACACAGCCTGCAGCTGGATGAACCGCAAGCAGGTGCTCAGTGAGGAGCCCAGCGGGCGCGTCCTGGGTGGTGCTGGCGAATCCGTGTCCAGAGACAACAGATGCGTGGTTGCTGGGGTGGCGGGAAGGAGAAACGGAGAGATTGCCCTCAGCAGGTGGGATAGGGGGCAGCTTTATGGGATGCGGACAGTTTTGAACGTTGCACAGCATGAATACAAGTACCACTGCCTTGTACACTTGAAACTGCTTATATTTTTTGTGAATTTCACCTCAGTGTTTTATTTATTATTTTTATTATTTTTAAAATATATTTTTATTGATTTCAGAGAGGAAGGGAGAGGGAGAGAGAGAGAGAAACATCCGGGATGAGAGAGAGTCGTGGTGGATCGGCTGCCTCCTGCAAGTCCCCCAATGGAGATCGAGCCCACAACTCAGGCATGTGCCCTTGACCGGAATCAAACCTGGGACCTTTTAGTTTGCAGGCCAGCGCTCTATCCACTGAGCCAAACCGGCTAGGGCTCACCTCAGTGTTTTAAAAATATATAGCACTGTAAAGGAAATGAAAAGGTTTCATATTTCTTACCTGCTAATAAAACTCTCTTGTACGTACATAGTTTTACGTGTGAGTAATTTTCAGAATTATAGCAGGTGTACATTCTGTGTTCAGTTTTCTCACTTGACGTTTTGCACAGCTACTCCCTGGATGCCTGCATGGGAGGGTGTCCCATGTTCTCTCGTGTGTGCCCTCTGCTATGTCCCACTACAGGCTCTTATGCAGAGGTCCTCAAACTTTTTAAACGGGGCCAGTTCCCTGTCCCTCAGACGTTCCACACATGCGCACTGCGGGCCCGGGACGAGTCGGCTGCTAAGCAGGACAGGCAGCGGCGGCAAACACCCGGCGGCCGGATAATGTTTTCAGCGGCCGCATGTGGCCCGCGGGCCGTAGTTTGAGGACCCCTGCTCTTATGCATTCACTGCCAGTACGGGGGCTAAGAGCTCAGTGCAAACATATGTCGGTACCAAGTGAATGAGGATGTTGGAGAGACAGTGCAGGACTCGCTCCTCAGACTTCTCTGCTGTCCCATCGAACCCAGGACTGGCCCTTGGTCTGGTCAGGGACAGTAGGCACCGGTCGTTCCTGGGTCATGACCATTGGCACTGCCTACCTGGGTCCAGCCCTGTCCTCTCCCCTCTCTTGAGCCACAGAACCAGGAGCCTGTGCTCTCGATCGTGCTGCTCTGAGTGAGGGCGGTGGTGCCTGATTTATAATAATTACGTTATTGAAACTCGTGTAATTGTTTATAGTTTGTACATTTTTCCAAATATCTGCTGGCTCCTGTTTTCCTCTTCAACAAGATTTCTCTTAAATAATAAAGTAATTAATAACACTCCTGACTTTTCACAGCAGTCCAGGCAGATACATGCTATTATCCTCATTGTACTGACTAAAAATTTGACCTGGAAGGGGACCACGACTTACCCAAGCAACGTGGCCTGAGCACCTGCCTTGACCGCACACCAGGGTCTCAGGGTCTCAGGGTCTCGGCGGCAGCTCTGTTGGCACTTTGGACAGATCATTCTTTGCTTTGGGGGTGCTTTGCATATTGAGTAGCATCCCTGGCCTCTGCCCACCAGTTGCCAACAGCACCCCTCTCCCGCCATGTGACAATGAAAAAAATGCCTCCAGACACTGCCCTGGGGACAAGATCACCCCTGGTCAGACCCGACACCAAGCCAGCCTCCAGGCGGGAGCTCCGTGGGTCCATCTGTGCCAGCCGAGGACAGCACTGCTTCCTGGTGGCAGTGGCATATCTCTGAGTGGTAGACGCAGACACGACGGCCGTGTGGCCGGGGACATGCCGACGTCAGCACCTCGGCACGCCGTGCGGAGCTGTGCCGTGCCCACAGCCTGAGCTTCCCTCCTTCTGCACACTGACTTCCCAACGCGCTTCTCTCCGGCCAGGTCTGTATGCGGTGAAGGTCCGGGCGGAGGCGATGCAGGAAGCCTCGGAAGCTGTCCCCAGCGGGATGCTGTCCGTCCTCGGCCGGCCCCAGACCAAGTTCACGTTCGCCTGTCTGGAAGCCCGGGAGCACTGCAAGACCCTGGGCATAGAGGACCCCGTGTGCGAGGTGGCCAGCTACCTCTTCCCGGACTGCAGGGTGATCTCGGGACACCTGGAGGTTGGTGTTGACGGGAGGCCTCCCAGACCTGGTCCCGGGCAGAGGCGGGGCTCTTCCGCCCCGTGAGCCCCAGCCGTGGGCTTGGGAAGTAGGTGAGGGCCAGGAGCGTGCGCAGTGAGTGATGCAGAGGAGGCCGAAGGCTGGGTGCCATCCCCGCCTCACACGGACAGGCAGGGACCGCCAGCCCACCTGAGTCATAAAGGGCTGGCCAGATGGTCTCCAGGGCCTCCCTATAGCACATTCTGGGCTTCTCACAGCCTTGCTGTGCTGCTTCCTTAGAGAGGGGAGAGCCGTCTCCTGTTGGGCTGCTCCGCCCGCCCCGCTTGCTCCCAGATGTCTGCTTCTGCACGAGTTAATCCTGCACATCCCTCCATCCGCCGCTTCCCCCCACAGCACTTCCCAGCAGCTCCTCTGTGACAGGCGCTGAGGGCCCCATGGCTGATAAGCCAGGGTTCCTGCCATCGAAGGAAGGCCGCTGGGAGCGGATGAGCCCAGTTTCAGGGCACAGTAAGGGCCAGGCTGTCCACTAGTGGGCCTGCGGAGGTGACACCAGACGGCAGTGCCTGGAAGAGATGGATGCCAGGAGAGGTGCCCGCCTGCCCGCCCGCCGCCTCAGGTGGGAACCCGAGGGAGGGCTGCTGGCGCAGGGCGCGGTTCACACGCCTTGTCTGGTCCTCCCAGCCAGTCCTTGCCCTGCGGCAGGGAGTCTGGGCTCAGCTCACACACGAGGAAGTGGAGGCAGAGGGCAAGTGCTTGGAGGCGAGGGAGGCAGCACCGGGGCTGAGGCCGGTCTCACTCGACTGCTTTCCTGCACTTGGCTGCTCAGTGCTCCCTCTAAGGCAGTGGTTCTCAACCTTCCTAACGCCGCGACCCTGTAATACAGTTCCTCATGTTGTGGTGACCCCCAATTTCATTGTGACAAATTGAACATAATTAAAGCACAGTGATTAATCACAAAAACAATATGTAATTATATATGTGTTTTCCGATGGTCTTAGGCAACCCCTGTGAAAGGATCGTTCAACCCCCAAAGTGGTCACGACCCACAGGTTGAGAACCGCTGCTCTAAGGCCTTGCCAGCAGCCAGGTATCCTTGTCCCTCCCGAGTCAGCGAGAGCCAGCAGGTGCCGCTGTGACAAGATGGCGAGGAGACCAGCTGCAGGGGCCCCCACGTCGTCATGAAGCTGCTCGTTCCCAGCCTTGGGACGGAGCCCAGAGTGGGCCAGGCAGGCCCCCGCCGGCAGGCTCTCCCTCGCAGGCTCCCGGGCAGGTGGGCATCGTCCGGTGGCCCCCAGGGTCCCCGGTGTGGCCTTTCGGTTCTGTGCCAAGTGCCGAGGTCTTCCAGGATGTAAGACTCTCGGCGCCTCTGCTGGGCCCGCTGACTGAGCACCAGCCACAGGGGAGCCTGCTGGGACCCACCAGGGACTTGAGTTGGAGGAGTGGGAGACTCCATGGAAAGCACTAGGGGGCCCACTGCAATGATGCAGGGTCCACGCAGGGTGCTGTGTCACAGTCCTGCATGGTGGGAGGCCCAGCATTGGAGCCAACAGGCCTCTGTGCAGAGGCTGCTGGGGCATGGCCCTCCGGGAGTTGGGTGACGGACGTGAGGCCCCAGGGCAGGCAGGGTTCTGCCGCAGTGACAGCCCGAACCCCTCAGCGCTCCCCGCAGATGTGGTCCCCGCCTGGGTAAGGTGTGCTGGGCAGTGCTGGGCTGGGCTCTACTTGGCACCTGCCCCGGGGTTCAAGCTGCTTGGGGCAGCCTCTGTGTGGGACATTGACAAACAGCACGGGAGAGTGACAGGAGGGCCGAGGGCTGCCCTGGCCACGCCTGGGCGGCCAGGATACACCCCTGCAGGGAGAGGCCCCCAGAGGTGCCGTGCTACCCAAAACTAACCCACCTCCTGTGGGGACACGGACTAGGTCCCTGTTAGAAAGTTCCCCGGTGGGCATGGATGGGCTTGGTATTCCAGAGAATGACTGCTAATCCTTAAATAGCACTTGTTTGCCAAGCATAGTTCTCCTTAACAGCCCTATAACTACTGCCATTACCTCATTTTATAGAGGAGGAAACTGAGGCACAAGAGGTAAAGTAAAATCGCCCAAGATCATGCAACTGCCATGACCTTTTTGAGGCTTAACTTAGTCTTCCAGGGAGCAGCTGGCCCAGGCTCTGAGCAGGCCCTGATGGTGACGGGTTGGGCGGGGGAGGGAGGAGGCAGGCCCTGATGGAGTCGGGTTGTGGGGAGCAGGCTGTGGATGGTGTCGGGTTGGGGGGAGCAGGCTGTGGATGGTGTCGGGTTGTGGGGAGCAGGCTGTGGATGGTGTCGGGTTGTGGGGAGCAGGCTGTGGATGGTGTCGGGTTGTGGGGAGCAGGCTGTGGATGGTGTTGGGTTGGGGGGAGCAAGTTGTGGATGGTGTTGGCTTTCGGGGGAATGGCTGACTATTTAGGGCACAGGCCCAATGGAGGGTGGCCTTGGGCACCTGAGAGCAAAGTGTCTCTTAAGAATATCTATTGTTGGAGACATTTGCAAGTTATGTTGTTAGCAAGCAGCTCCTGGTTTAGGCCTCTTGGCTCGCCCCGGATCGGGATGGGCTTCCGGAGGAGAGCTCTCTTCTTCCGCAGGGAAGCCCGGAGGAGGGGCCCGGGGAAGACCGTGCGCTGGGAAATGAGCTGGGAGCCTCCTGGGTTTTCATGTTGGAGGTTCCTGAGTAACGTGAGAACAGGCCCTAGTAAACATGACGAGGGGTAGCGGAATCCGATTGAAAATGAACACATTAGACCAGCGGTTGCCAACCAGCGGTCTGCAGACCACTGGTGGTCCGTGAGGTCCGAAAGGTTGGCGACCGCTGGTTTAAGGAAACCTCTGGAGCAGCGGTCGCCAACTGGTGGTCCGTGAGGTCCGAAAGGTTCGCGACCGCTGGTTTAAGGAAACCTCTGGAGCAGCGGTCGCCAACTGGTGGTCCGTGAGGTCCGAAAGGTTCGCGACCGCTGCATGAAACAGTGCTTTTTAAAATGTTTTCTTTTAAGTATTTTATGTTGATTGATTTTTTTTTTTTTACTGCTCCAGTCAACAAAACAGAAACTTTATTGAGGCCCCAGCGTCACAGGGTTCAGGTAGAAGGCTGCCCTGTGGACCCAAGGAGTTGGTGGAGGGGCCTTATTTAACCTTCTTCTTGGGGTGCAGGTTGTTGGTGTGGCCACACTTTTTCTTGCGGCAGTTGACAGCACGGGGGTGCAGGCGGGCGTAACACTTGCGGCAGATCGTCTTGTCGCAGCTGTACTTTTGCGCGAGCTGGCGGAGGGAGGGTTTGATGATGCCACCCCTGAGACGCAGCGCCAAGTGCAGGGTGGACTCTCTGAATATTGTAGTCGGAGAGAGTGCGACCATCCTCTAGCTGTTTGCCCGCAAAAATCAGACGCTGCTGGTCAGGCGGGATGCCCTCCTTGTCTTGGATTTTAGCTTTGACATTTCTCAATGGTGTCACTGGGCTCAACCTCAAGGGTGATGGTCTTGCCAGTCAGAGTCTTCACAAAGATCTGCATCTCTGCGTCTGCTGCTCTGCCGCCTCGTTGACCGGATTTTTATTTTCAAATATTTTCATTGATTTCAGAGAGGGAGGGAGAAGGAGAGAGAGAGAGAAACATCAGTGATGAGAGAGAGTCATTGATCGGCTGCCGCCTGCACGTCCCCCACTGGGGATCGAGCCCACCACCTGGGCCTGGGCCTGGGCCCTGACCGGGAATCGAACTGGCAACCTTTCAGTGCACAGGGCTGTGCTCAACCAACAGCCACTCCGGCCAGGGCTAGATAGCATTTTTTGTTATCAGACTCTGTCACACCCCTCCGATCTGATCACTTCCCAGCAGCCTTTTAAAGTAGATGAAATTGTGCTTTTTGGGGATGGAGTGAGAAGTTCAGAGGCCGAGTAGTTTGCCTGGGGCCACCAAGCTAGTGAATGACAGTGCTGAGACGGGACCCAGATCTCAGCCACACTGTGGTCGGCTGCCTGGGCGACCGGTGAATGGTCAGGTCCTGGAGGAGGCCTCCTGGGGCAGTGACTCAGGAGCCGCTCTAACGAATGAGGTGAATAGAGCCCGTCACCGCCTGTGGTTGCAGGAGGAGGTGTGGGAGGAGGTGCGGATGAGCATGTTCTGGACACGGGGCTGTGACGGAGCCGTGCTGGCTGCTGTGTCTTCCCGAGCTTTGCTTGGCTTAACCCTCCACCCTTTTCCTTGCAGGCTCTGCAATTTCTCCAGAAGAATTCCTCCAAGTACCACTTCAGACGCACCAAGATGCTGCCGGTCAGCGGGGCCTTCCACACCCGCCTCATGGAGCCCGCCGTGGAGCCCCTGGCGCAGGTCCTCAAGGCCATCGCTGTGAAGACGCCCCTGGTCTCGGTGCATGCCAACGTCAGCGGGAGCAGGTACATGCACCCTAAGCACATCCAGCAGCTGCTGGTGAAGCAGGTGGTCTCCCCGGTGAAGTGGGAGCAGACGATGCACGCCTTGTACGAGAGGAAGAAGGGCTCCGACTTCCCCAGGACCTTCGAGGTGGGGCCCGGGAAGCAGCTGGGCGCCATCTTGAGGAGCTGCAACCTGCAGGCCTGGAAGTCCTACAGCCACGTGGACGTGCTCGAGGCCGACGAGGCTGCGGACGAGGACCTGTAGGGTCTCCGATGACCACGGGGTGGGGTGAGGTGCGGTGGGGGCGGCGGGGGCTGAGCCAGCCCGGCCTGCCCAGAGGAGGCTGTTCCTGCTGCTTCCTGTCCAGCCTCTGCCCCGTGATGGGGAGGGACTGTGTGACGCCATGTAAAGCACATAAAGTGAGTATTTATGCAGCACAGTCCATTTCTCCTCTAGGCACGTTTGGATGCTGGGGAAGGGGCAGCTGTGCTGGGTACGTGAAGACTGCTGAGTCTTGTTGTAGTTGAGCCTCGATTGCTGTTGGTGCCCCTGGGAGGAACTGATCTCCAGGCCAATTGGCTGTGGGGACCAGCTGCCCTACAGTGGGAGAGCTGCTGTGCAGGAGACACCCCTATGCTCAGTGGGGCTTTGGTGCCCACTGTGTCTGCTCTGAGTGTGTTGCTTGTGTAAAGCTGTAATCTGGTATGATCTGAGCTGTCTACTGGTTCTAGTTTCTGCCCTGATGCCAGACAGTCCAGTTCCTCCCTGTATGTCTGGGTCCCCCAGCACCTTACCCCCCCGCGCTGGAGCTCAGAGGAAGCAGGACCTTGTAAGTTCAGTGCATGCGCTAGCCCTTTAAGAGGAACAGCTGGGTCTCCAGCAGCCTGTCACTGAGCCCCAGTCCCTGCTGGTTTTCACAGCCTGTTTACGGGGACTTATCTTCCCTCTGGGCCTGGGCTGTGGGGCTGGGACCCCTTGCCCTCACGGGGGGCCTCCACAGAGACCACCTCCCTCCTGATTAAAGCAGTGGCACGCGTGGGTGCCGGTCCGGCCTGTTCGCATCTGCCCCTCTGACCAGTGTGCTTTCTCATCGGACTTCCATTCAGCCGGCTTTCAGGCGACGGTGGTGGTTTTAGTTGTAATGCTGATCGGTGTGGGAGGCGGGTACCGTACCGGCGTTACCTACGCTGCCCCCTCGGTTCTCTCCTTGGGAGGTTTTCACTGATCAGACAGCGGGCAGGCCTTCCTGGGAGCGAAACGTGCGTCTGTGTTCAGGTGCTGCTGATGTGCCGACTCTTCACACCCTGGGTGGGGCTTCCGGTGTTAACTCCCGTGTTTCTCAGCAGCGCCCCGCTGGCCTCCGGGTAGAACCAGCCCCCCCTGCGGGAACCCCTGCTGCGGGCAGCTGTGCCGGCTCCTGGCCACTGACCCCCAAACACGCCGTCTCCACAGCCCTGGCTGAGAGCCACCGCGGATATGCCCACTGTCCAGGCACTTCTTGAAGAACTGTTTTTTGTTTTTTTTTAAATATATTTTTATTGATTTCAGAGAGGAAGGGAGAGGGAAATAGAAACATCAATGATGAGAGAGAATCATAGATCGGCTGCCTCCTGCATGGCCCACACTGGGGATCAAGCCCGCAACCCGGGCATGTGCCCTGACCGGGAATCGAACCGTGACCTGCTGGTTCATAGGTTGACGTTCAACCACTGGGCCACGCCAGCCGGGCAAGAACCGTTTCTTAAAATGTGCAGAAATTCTCAAACGTTCACAGAGAACTTTGTTGTTATTGTAAGTGGTCGCCAGTTCTGCTGGAGTCCCCTTCGCAGGGTGCTGAGCACCTCGGTCAGACCAGCTCCTGGGCGGGCTGCGCTGCCGGCAGGGAGGTGTCCGAGGGCCCTCAGCCCCCGAAGGCCCCGGTGAGGGAGCGGGGTGCGTGGAGGACAGCTCCTCCTCCGGAAGGGTGCCCTGGGTCTGCGCATGCTTCAAGCCGCAGGAGCAGCCGGGACAGCCAGCGAGAGGCAGCAGCACCGGAGGGACCCCAAGGGCGTAGCGAGAACCTCCACCAGGAGCCCTGGGTTGGGGTGGGTGGGTGGGCCCTCACCCTGCCCCTGCCCCCTGAATCTGGAGGAGACAGGGAGGGAGTTGTGGAGGAGCTGAGTCTTGGGGGCCCACATACTCCCTTTGAAGGGCTGGCGGCCAGTCCTCCCTGGGACACCAACACCCTCCATGCAGGGGGTCCCTCCATCTTTGGGGGCCCTGTCATTGGTGAGCCCTGGCTCCCTGGTCTGCCTGGATTGGGCGCTGCCCTTCTGCCCTGGCAGGAGCAGGGTGCCCCGGGCACCCCTCTGAGCCTCCACCTCGCCTCATCTCCAGGAATCCTGACCAGACCAGGGGCCGTGTTCATGTTCAAAGGCCCCCAAAATGGAAGATGATGGGGCCCCTCCTGGCCCCACAGCCTGGCACCTGGCTCTGGGAGGAGCTTCACTGCCCCTGGCAGCCTCTGCCTCAGGTCCCTGGGGGGTGGGGTCGTGTCCACCCTGGGCGAGCCCGGCCTGCTGGAGAGAGCTGCTGGGGGTGGTGGGAGCACAGTGCAGATTCCTTAGGAATCCCGAGCCCTGCCTGGGAGGAACAGGCCACTGGTCCTTTTGGGGTTTGAGGAGAGATTTTTGAGACCGCCATGGACTCAGATTGAAGCTGGTTTTAACGAGGAAAGGGGCACCTTTCTGACCTGTGGGAATCCTGGTGCCCCTGCCCAGCCCCCCCTCCTGTGCGCGCTCATAGGCTGCACCACGCCCGCAGGGGGGCTGGGTGAGCGCACGGGGAGGGCAGGCAGCCCAAGGAAAGAATCCCTATGGTCGATTTCAGCACCAAGACATGAGGGGCAGTGAACCGGTGCTTTGGGGCCCACGCAGCACTCGGGTGTGGGGGGAGCTCGAGGCTGTGACGCAGGCAAGTGGCTGGGCCATGCTTCCCCCGACCCCCCCCCCCCCCCCCGCTCCCCATCATCTCCCTCCAAGGGGCAAGATGGAGCCCATGCTGCAAACCCAGGAGGACCAGAGACGAATGGAAACCAACATTTTATTGACTCTCCTCACCCCTCAAAATCTACTCCAGCAGATTCTCTGTGGGCACCGCAGACACGGGTGTGACCAGCACTCCCCCAGCGCCTGCTGCGTGGCCCACAGGAGAGGATGGCTCCTGGGGCCAGGAGAACAGTTAGCCATGAAGATCCCAGAGGTATAATTCATTTCTCTTACAAAAAACAAAACCAAAAAAACACGTATGAAACCTCAGGAGTGTCCCAGCACTCAGGATTTAAATATAAAAAAGGGATCATAAGAAAACAGTTAAAAAGACAAAACCAACAAGGCCACCTCCAGGGTGGTGGTGGGGGAGGGCCAGCCCCCCCGCGCTGGCCAGCAGCGCGTCACTGGAGGAGGTGCAGGCCCCAGTCTAGCAGCAGCGCCAGCAGCAGCAGCCCGGACAGCTTGCGCCCCCGTCCCTGGCGGGGGGACACCTGTGAGAGGAAGGGGGGAGTGAGGACCACCTGGGGGGCTGGTGGTCAGCCCAGTGGGCGAGCGGGGTGCGAGGAGAAGTCGGTAAAGGGGGCTGAACAAGGGCATCTCCCACAGGAACGGGGCTCAGGGACCTGGTCCAGAGAGGAGGGCAGGAGGTAGGAGGCAAGTGCCCCTGAGGACAGGCCGAGGGCCGGGGGTTGGGAACGCTGCTCAGGACAAGCGTCCCCTGCCCTGGCAGGTGAGTGAGGAACCGGAGGAAGGTGCGGAGCAGGCAAGGCACCCCAGGGTCCGTGCCCGTCAGCAATCCCAATCTCAACCCAGAGGCCTCGGGGACCAGGCAGAAGTGGGTGGGGCAGGCGAGACGAGCACAGGGAGTGGGGGGACTGGGGCCCCGAGAGGAACGCTTTACGGAGCAGCTCCGCTGCCCAGGCTTACCCAGGCCCTGAGGATCAGGAAGCTCCAGAACCTTCTGTTCCCCCTGAGGTAAGGGAGGCCACCCATAACGCTGGTAAGGACCACCCTCAGACCGGTCTGGTTGTAGGTGTGCACGAAGCTGTGAGACAAATGGGAGCGGGAGCGGCCATTACCGCGCGGACAGGGCAGAGGGCCCCCTCCCCCGGCCCCCACGCCCACCCTCGCCCTCCTCCCTGGGCGGCTCCGCAATGAGGGCCTCTCTCCATGCTCCACGGGCTGTTTCTGGTACTCGGGCCTTGCGCTCTGGACCTGGCCACGTGGAAAACCCTCCACTGCCCGCAGCCCGAAGAGGCGGGCCCCGGGAGCAGGTCCTCCCTCCAGAGAAGCTGTTTGGATACAGGCCTGGGCTCCCGAAGAGAAGGCAGCCTCCCTGAGACCAAGGGACCGCACCCGCTTGGGGCCTGGGCTCCAGGAAGGGCCCTCTGCGCGCGCCCCCCCCCCCCCCCCCCGAGCAATCCCATGAGGTCTGAGCACCCTCAGGGAGGCCGGCCAATCAGGAGCGTCTCCGCCAGGGCCTCGGGTACCACCATCGGAGCCCACTCAGCACGTCCCGTCATTCGAGGTCCTGCTGCCGGCAGCCAGGCAGGAAGGAGAAAGCGCGACGCTGGACTGGTACCTGTACATGGCCATCCAGGGCACGTGGGCAAAGCGGGGCAGCGTCCATCTCACTTCCAACTCGTCCCCAATGAAGGCCAGCCGCATGGCCACCTCGTGAGGGAGGGCTCTGCGAGGGGTGCAGGGAAGGAGGGTGGGTTGTGCCGGTGACGCACACCTAGGCCCACCCAGCCAGCCGGGCCACAGGTTCACAGGGCGCAGAGCTGGGCGCAGGGCAGGGAACCTTCAGGCCTCTCCTTGGCTCCCACCTCGCTGCAGACAGCCATCGAGGTCTGCCCACCGGGGGCTCCAGAAGCGGGGGCAGGGGCTTCTGGTCGGTCTGAGCTCTCAGCTGGGGTAGGATGTTTGGGCCTTGGAGCTAGGCAGGTGGGGGGCCGAGCCTCCCCCAGATCACAGGCTGGCTTCCCTCAGGGGCCTCACCTTACCTTCCTCCTGGTGGGGAGGTGCTCAGGGACCTTGTCCCTGGTCCCCAATCCTAAAACCTCCTCTATGTCATCACCTCTGAGAAAGGAGGGGCTGACCAGCCCACCCTCACTGAATGGACTCCTTCATGGACGTGGAGGCTCCCTTCCCCCCAGCTGCCCAGTCTGATGTCCTCCCCTCCCCCTTGTGTGCCTGGGCGGGTCACAGCCCTGCTCTCAGGGGTTGGCCCACACATTCCATCCCAGTGAGTAGGCAGCTGCCTGGGAATTCCCAGACCAGAGGCCTCCCAGCCCAGCACAGCCCCGGCCACCTGCCCAGTCTCGGGGCCATGCTCTCTCTGCTCCAGGAGCAATGGGGGCGGGAGGGTAGGGGGGGCTGGCTGGCACCAGGGAGTGGGCTGAGGTCCCACCTGCATGCCGATACCCGATGACGTCCCCTGCTGTCATCTACAAACGGGCGGGGTGGAGGAAAAAGGCACATTGTGGGTCCCCCCGGCCCTAACATCCCAACCAGCCCCACCCCCAAGTCCAGGATCTCTTGACTAAAAGTCCTGAGGCCTAGAGCAGGGGCGAGCCTCCGGGCCCTGAACGGATCCTGGGTACGTGCCCTCTCTGCCGCCCTACCAGCCAGGGCCAGGAGCTGCAGCCGAGCCTGAAGCGGCCTCAGGCTGCCTCGATCCCTCTCTCAAGAGGCCTTTTTTAAAAAAATATTTTTTTATTGATTTCAGAGAGGAAGGGAGAGGGAGAGAGAAAACATCCATGAGAGAGAATCCTTGATCAGCTGACTCCTGCACTCCCCACATTGGGGATCGAGCCCACAACCCAGGCCTGTGCCCTGACCAGGAATCGAACCGTGACCTCCTGGTTCAAGGTCGACGCTCAACCACTGAGTCACACCCGGCCCTGGTCTTAAGAGGCCTTGGTGCAGTGGTCGCGGTCATGGGGGGTCACGGGGGGTCAGGGGCCGGGAGGCACTCCGTCCTAATCCACAGGCTGGAGGCACTGGATGCTGGCGCCTAAGGTCCCAGGATGCTCTGAGGCGCCCTCCGTGCAATGGGATCAGAACAAAGCTGTCCTGCCTGGCGCTGGCCTCCACGGCCACACCCGGGAGTTTCCACCTGGAGCCCTGCCCGGAACCCAGCAGGCCCGCTCTCCTCACCTCCCCCACCAGGTCCGGGACAGGAATGGGGAGGGCGGGGCCCGCAGACAGCTGGTGGGACCTACCCCAGGGGCTCCGGCGAGTCCTGGAGGAGGCTGGTCACGCCGGGATCCTCCGCCGCTTGCAGCCCGTGCTCCTGCAGGAAGGTGCACAAGATGAGGCTCCTGGAGAGGTGTCCTGCTTGAGACATGTCTTCTCTGGGGAAGAAAGACACACACAGTGACTGACGCCCTGACCTCCACCCTCGCCCTCGCCCCCTCTGCTAAAGCCATCATCGGCCTCTTCCCCCAGCTGCCCCAGCATGAAGCCCGCCACACACCGCTGTGTGCCTCTGGGCAAGTCACTGCACCTCTCTGTTCTCCACCATACATTTCTAAAGTCAGGGATCTGAGAATGATTCATAAGGGCTCTTGTCTTTTCTCTTTGTGAAAGAAAAAAGGAATCAGCGGAGAAATAAGAAAGGCTCTCATCCTGGCCCCCAAGAGCGGCTGGCAAACTACACCACCAGGCGTCTACTGTCACAATAGTGACGGAGGCTGGGGCCGCCTGGAGCACGGCTCCTGGGCACCGCCGTTTCCCTTGAGCGGGAAAGCAAATAGCTAAGTGAGGGATCGTCGTGGGCAGCCCCGATTCCACGGGACCCTGCGGCTCTCCGGCTCTGTTTGTAAGCACATTCACACGATTTCAAACATGGGACCCTCCTCACAGAGCGTTACGGCCTCCTTCCTCCACCGTCTCGGCAGGCTCTTACCTCCCCGCCCCTGCTCGCAACCAGCTTCCCTCAGGTGGCCCTGAGTCCTTGTGCATCTAAGCCCATCAGGACACTCCTGTTCACCTTCCCGAATGCCCTGCAGCTAGTGATGGGCAGGTAACCCATCCTGGTCAATGACGGCTCAGGCACTGATGTGGGAGTTGAGAGGGAGCAGACACGGCCTGGGCAGCTCGTCCCCCTCCCCGCTGCCTGCAACCCGGACGCGAAGGCTGGAGCTGCAGCAGCCCTTTTAGGACACCGAGGTGTTGAGTACAAGAACCACCACCGTGCCAAGGACACAGAGCAAAGGTAGGGAGCTGGCTCCCGGCCGGCACTATTGGAACAGGAAAACACAAGCCGCTGACACCTGTGTAAGAAAAACAAAAACCCCATTTGCTCAAATCACCATTCACCGCCTTGCCCATTCCGTGCAGCCAAAGGTCCGCCTGTTACAACCGTGAACTCCCATAACAGTCCCTGTTCACGTCACCACGCGACCGCTGGGTGGGCCTCTGCCCTGGCTGAACATCATTTACACCCCCACCCCCCGCCCCGTACCAGACGGCCGTGGGGCCAGAGGAGGAGGAGGGATGGAACCAAAGAGTCCGAGTTCCAGTCCCGCTCTGCCATGGCGCCCCGTTCTCTCATCTGCACGGCACCCGCAGCCCTTCACGCGGGGGTTGGAGGGGAGGGGTCGCCTGCAGGTGCCTTGAGCAGAGCCTGGAGCACTGAGGGAGCAGGCGCTAACCATTAGGGCCTTTGCATCTCCTTATTATCTTCTTACAATAGCGTCCGGGGTTTTTAACAGGTCTGACTCCGCACACTGGCCTGCCCTGAACCAAGAAGGAGCAAAACCCCAAACCTCCCGGCTCCCAGAGTGATGTCTGCAGGCTGCACGGGCACCCACCCTCCGGGGACTGAGGCTGGACAGGCCTGCACCCACCACTTGCTCCAGCATGAAAGGGGGAGGGCGCAGAGGCGAAGGGGGGCCAGGGCTCCCGGGATCACAGAGGGTCCCCAGGTGTCCGGGCGAGTCCAGACAGGTGAGTCTCAACAATGCACCCAGAAGGCAGGCGAGGAGATGGACGGGCCGCGACGTCAGCGAGGGCGCAGACAGGCTGAGGGCCTGGCCTGAGAGGGGAAGGACCGCAGAGGACAGCACTGTCCTAGGGAAGAACTGGTCGGAGTGTTTCTCAAAGAGGCCGGCTGAGTTTGCTGAGCGGGAAGCCCGTTTTACGTCTGTTCCGGATGGAAGCCCGCGGAAAGGCAGCGGACGGGAGCGGGCGGGGAAAGCAGACACGTAAACACAGCCACAATGGCCCGCAGAGCCCCGGCCTGGCATCTGCCGGCGCACCTGTCAGGGCAGCCCCTGCCCGGGGGAGCTGGCGGGCCAGGCCCAGCACCCACATCCCAGGGGGGAGGGGCGCTGCTGCCGCCGAGGGACCTGCAGGCCCAGTGTTAAAAGCCTGTAGGGCCAAGACGCAGGGACGCCCCCAAACCATCGGCCGCACAGCTGTACAGGGAAGGGCACGGGGACAGTGCTAAGGGCCTAAATGCTGTCAGCAATTTCAACACCCAGCGCTGGGTGTGTAGATCCCCATCAGCGCCAGGGGGTGCTGAGGGCAGCGAAGGTGGGCCCCCTGCAGTTGTTCATGACACGTCACCAGTACGGTCTGAAGCCACTGCTGTGGCCAGAGCTGACTTCTTAGCCTTATTATTGGGGGGCGGGGAGGGGGGCCCTGACCCCAGGCAGCCAGGGGCGCTGGGCCCCAGCCCTGACACTCATTTCCCCACTTTCCGGCAACTTTGCCCGTCTGAACAGAGAGGAGAACTCGGGGGGGGGGGGGGGGGGCACTGGTACCAAAGGAAAGAGGATCGAGCGAGACTTCAACAGAGACCACCGTGACTGAGCGTGAGCGAGTGAGAGGAAGCCGCCGAGAGCATCGAGGACGCGCCATCCAATCCGGCGGGAGGAGGGGGGGGTCCTTTTCGAAAAAGGCCGGGAAGGAAGCTCTGGGCAGATCCGAACGTTCACGAAGAGAAGCAGCTCTTGGAAGTGCCAGGAGTTACAACAGCGGTTCTCAACCTGTGGGTCGCGACCCCTTTGGGGGCCGAATGACCCTTTCACAGGGGTCGCCTCAGACCATCGGAAAACACACATATCATCGCATATTGTTTTTGTGATTCATCACTAAGCTTTCATTATGTCCAATTTGTAACCATGAAATTGGGGGTCACCACAACATGAGGAGCTGTATTAAAGGGTCGCGGCGTCAGGAAGGTTGAGAACCACTGAGTTACAAGGTTCCAGATCCAAGACCAACATACAAAAACCCACGGCATCCTTAACGGCAACCAGGAGGTATCAGGAGAAAAGAAACACATCTTCACAGGCTTCGATCAGGCACGAATCTCATAAAACACGCTTAAACGCTCTGGAGAAAAATGGGACACTCCAGCCCGGCCAGTGTGGCCTATGACCAGGAGGTCACGGCTCGATCCCCGGTGCGGGGCGCGCAGGAGGCAGCCGACCGACGATTCCCTCTCCATTGACGTTTCATTCTCTCTTTCCCTTCCTTTCTCTGAAATCAACAAAAACCTATTTTAAAAAGAAAGAAAACGTAACACTCCATTAAAGACAGAAAAGACCCAGATGAATGGAGACAGCTCTCCTGGGTGAGGGAGCAGGCACAGGCTGCAGGCAGTGTGCGCACACGCACTTGAGCTGGCGTTAAGCAGATTGCTGAGGAATTGCGACAGGAGCGCTGCCTGCGCCCAGGCCCCAGGGGGCGGGTGTCTATGAAAATGACCATTTCCCTGGGAAAGCAGCCCCAGCCCTCATTTGCATCTGCCTCCGGGTTCCCCCTCCCTCCACCCCACCCGCCTCCGCAGGCTGAGGCTGCTGGGTGCTCCCCTGGAAACCCCTCCCTGCTGGGGCCTCGAGGGGACCTCACTGGGCCTGGGGTCTCGGAGCCTTACCTTGACCCACTGTCCCCACATCCCTCCCCCACCCCCACCCCGCAGACAATCCCTGAAACCTTTGGTAACAAATGGGGCGCACCGCCCCACCAGTCCTACAGGGCAGGTGCCTGGCCAGGGACAGTGACTGCGGGCAGCTTGGCCAGGCTGGGGCTGGGGCCTGAGTGATCTGAGCAGTGCCAGGGTGGGTGAGGCCTGAGCAGTGCCAGGGTGGGTGAGGCCTGAGCAGTGCCAGGGTGGGTGAGGCCTGAGCAGTGCCAGGGTGGGTGAGCAGTGGGGTGAAGCCTCCCCACATGGACTGAACTGTTTCGGGGCAGGGCCTGCGTCTACACCTTCATGTGGGCCCCAGCCTTCCTCCCGGCCGAGTCCCACTGCGGACACTCCGGGGCAGGGTTCCTGGTTAACATCCTCACCCAGCCGGTCACCTGGGTCACCTGCAGTGTGAGTCTGGTGGAGGCACCGTGCCCTTATCTGTAAATAGGGAAAATGGTCCCCCAAACCGGGCTCCTTGTCCAGGCAAGAGCCAGCGGTGCCGTTATAATCCTGGCAGGTGTCGGAGCCCCTGCCACTGTCCAGGCCTGACCTCAGCCCTGGATATGGGCCCCTTACATGCTCCCCAGCCAGGCCGGGCTGGCCTTGGGCTCTAGATCTGGGCAGAACAGAGTGTAGCTGGGAACTGGGGCAGGGTCCCTGCAGCAGCCTCCAGCCCTACCCCCCCCCCACACCCGTCACAGCCCCTGGCCCAGGCCCGTGCGGTCTGAGCACCTCCGCCTGGCCCCGCTGCCCGGCCTTGCTTGTCTGACCTGATTCCTAGACGGCAGTCTGCGATCTGCCCGTCACGGGTCCACTCGGCTCCTAGTCCCCACGGGAGCCAGGCCACCCGCTACCAGGGCCCTCTCCTCACCAAGGCCGCCTGGCCAGCTCAGCCTGCCCCCTAAGCTTGGACCCTGTCCCTGCCACACTACAGACGGCTGTAACTGTGCCCGATGTGTCATGGGCCGTGCCCGCTGGCCACCATCCTGTCTCCCCTGCTTGGCTCACTCCTCTCTCCTCACTCGGCTTTCGAACTCGGCACAGGGGCGAGATTTGCATCCTAAAGAGCTTGGCTCTAGCGTCCCCGTCCCAGATCCTAGAGTCAGGTGGGGGCACCAGGGCTCCCACAGCCGTCTCTGCTCCCTCCGTCTCCAGCCAACCACATGGGCGTTGGAGGTTCCGCATCTGTGACTTCGAGCAGGGACTCAGGGCCAGGCTGCGGGTGTCCTCCCTCCTCACTGACACTAGCAGCGCCTGCCTCTCCGGGCTGCTAGGGGACAAAGGGGCGGAATCCGTGCTGATGAGCGAGGCCCGCGTCAGCCGGCAGCACAGGAGCGGCCTCCATCATCCCGACTCGCAGCGCAGAGCGGAGCAGTGCTTGTCGAGTGACTAAGCAAAGGCCTCGGCAGCTGCGCATCCAGGAGCCGGGCCTGGTTTTAAGCACCTATTTTTTCCAACAGATTTGCAAATATGTGGTTTAAAACCCTTCCTTGGTGAAAGGAAGGCACACCTAGCCGCACCCACCCAGACAGCCCACTCCTTACCCGCCTACACACTCAGTGGAAAACACGGCCAGGAGCCCTGTTTTGCCCACAGAGACCAGGATGCAAATCTCACCCCTGTGCCGACAGCCGCCCCCACGCCGTGAGGACACCTGCAGGCCTCGGAGGACACAGCTGGCCCGCTTCCGGTAAACAGCCCTGCGCCAGCCACCAGCTCCCGGCCTGGCCTCGGTTTCCACACCTGGGAAATGGGGAGATGCCATCTCCCTCCCAGGCTGCATGAAAGCTGAGCGATGAGAGTTCCGGTGCAGCACACAGTAGGTGTTCTGCAAAAGACAGAAAGGCCAGGGTTGCAGAAGTGGGGGAGGGGTGTCCACCTCCTGGCGGGGGACCTACAGGCCCAGGCAGGACTCTGACAATTTCAAAAACGGCAGACCCAGGTTCAGAGGGCGGAAGGGACCAGATGGGCCACAGGGAGGTCAGTGGGGGGAGATGCTCCTTCCAACGGGCTCCAGGTTCACAGGCTGTGCCCTGCCCCGTGCATGCACGCGCGCACGCGCGCACACACACACACACGCACATGCACACACGCACGCACACACACACACACGCACACGCACACACTGGGGCACTAACAGCTGGCCCCTCCTTGGAGTGTGGACCCTCTGCCTCCTCAAGCCCAGCCTCGCCATGTGTCAGCAAACCAGGAACAGGTAGGTCATGGCCGCAGCAATGCCACCTGGTCACTGGGTCCTGGGGCCAGGCCAGTGGCTGCTGGTGGGCCTGGCTGGGGAACCCTGGTCCTGTCTTTTCCAGGAGGGCTTCCACCCCACCTGTCCCAGTCACCAGCCCTGCCCCCACCCATGAGTCGGGTGATGCCCCGGTGGATGGAGCACCCTTTGCCCACAGCATCGGGCACACGCTCGAGCAGAACGGCCTTGACCTCAGCAGGAAGGCCTGGGTTCCGTCCCAGCTCTGCCACTGCAGTGCGACCAGGACTAACCTGAGCCGCCGGGACAGGGCCCTCTGCAGGCAAACAGCACCCCAGGTCTGTGGATTCAACTGTGGCCCTCAGTGTGCCTGGCAGGGGGCCAAACAACGCCACAGATCAGAAGGGAGCACTCATGAGGGGCAAGACAGCTGCGGGGTCCCCTCGGGCAGCATCCTCCAAAGTCGCCAATGTACGTAACCTCTGACTTCCAGAGACGCATCCCACAGAAACCCCTACGCATCCCGGCGGCCCTGGAAGAACACTCGCGGGTCTGGAGGTGCCCTTGGGCCAAGATCTTGAAGGCGCGTGGCTACAGGACACAGCGGGAGGGAACAGATAGTTTGTAACTGTGCTGCTGCCCTGAGTAAAATGCAGACTAAACAGAAATTTCTGTCTGCACAGATCAGTCCAGGAGCCGCTGTCTCTGGGACGGGCGGGCGACTTGATTTTTATTACATACTAGTGGCCCGGTGCACGAAATTCCTGCACATTAAAAGGGAATTAATTGGAGGAAATATTTTAATAGTGCTACTTGCCCTTTCTCTATAATAGAGGTGTCAGAGATGAAAGAGAATTAGTAAAACGTATACGAAAATCTTCCTCCTGTCACTGGAGTCTGGGGCATGCCCCGGGACCCAGAGTCAAGTCCCCGCCCACCTGCGTGCACCTCAAAATCACCCGGCCAGCCCCACCCCCATTGGGCAAGATCCAGACCCAGCCGGCCCCACCCCTGTCAAGCCCTGCTGGGCAGAGGGTGCAGCTTCAGGTACCCCGGCCTGGTGCTGGGGCAGGGGGCGCGGCCTGAGGTCCCCGTGCAAGTCTTGCTGGGCGGGGGGCGTGGCCTGAAGTTCCCCGTCAAGCCCCACTGGGCAGGGGCACAGCCTCAGGTCCCCCGCCCTGGCCCAGTGCCACACAGCCTCAGGTCTCTGCTGATCACTCGTTAAAGAAACCCCGTGTCTGCTGTGGGCGCAGCCATCTTGTGTTACGGGAACCCCGCGTCTGCTGTGGGCGCAGCCATCTCCTGACAGCATGACGGAGTGAGGGTCAATTTGCATATCACCTCTTTATTATACAGGATGCTTCTGTGCTCTAGAACTTTCACTTTCATGTGTGTGCAGCCATCACTGACTCAAAACTAAAGCAAAACCCAGCGGGCGTGGCTCCGTGATTGAGCATTGATATATGAACAAGAAGGTCACAGTTTGATTCCAGGTCAGGGCACATGCCCAGGCTGCAGGCTCCATCCCCAGTAGGGAGCATACAGGAGGCAGTCGATCGATGACTCTCATCATTGATGTTTCTCTCTCTCCCTCTCCCTTCCTCTCTGAAATCAATAATAATATATTAAAAAAAAAACTAAAGCAAATATAACTGTTTCAAGCCCTAGCCAGTTTGGCTCAGTGGATAGAGCATCGCCTGCGGACTGAAGGGTCCCGGGTTCAATTCCAGTCGGGGCATATGCCTGAGTTGTGGGCTCAATTCCCAGTGGGGGGCATGCAAGGGCAGCTGGTCAATGATTCTCTCTCATCATTGATGTTTCTATTTCTCCTTCCTCTTCCTTCCTCTCTGAAATCAATTAAAAAAAAAAAAAAAAAAATTCATTTAAAAAAACCCTATTTCAAGTTGATAGCTTGACTTGGTCTGAAATGGAGCTGTTTGTCTTTTATAATTTTTATTTAATTTTATTGATTTCAGGGAGAGAGAAACATCGATGTGTTGTTCCACTTAGCTAATGCATGTATTGGTTGATGCTTGTATGTGCCCTGACTGGGTATCTGGAGGAGGTAGAGCTGTTTGTCTTAAAGGTCTATTTCAGGTATCAAGTACACCCCACCTACCACCCCCGCCCTCCATCCCCCTCCTCCCACTCCCTCCCCACCTGGAGCGGAAGCCCAAACAGCCTGTTTCGGTGGGCGGGGTCCCTTCCCGGAGTGATGGAGCAATCATGGGGGAAACGGAGGGAGAGATAAGGAGGGAGAAAGGTATTTCAAGCAAAAAGAAAGTTTTGGAAATTGACCTTGGGGGTGGGTGTTGTTCACAAACTTGGAACATTGTGGCTTGAAAGGGACTCTTGAGGCCCCGGCCTCCACCTGCCCCCGGGAACACAGTGCAGGTGCTGGCCGACCCACCCCGCGCCCCGGTGCCTGCTGAGCCTCCCCCTGGGCTGGGTGGACCAGGGCAGGAAGGCCAGTCCCAGCTTAGCTTCTGGCTGCGGTGGCCTCCCCCAAGGGCGGCGCTCCCGGGCCTGTGCCTTCCCGCTCTGGGAGACCTTTGTATTTGCATCTACTGAGTCCCACCTCCCTCAGCAGGGGGATACTGTTCGCCCCCTTTCACAGGGGGGCCGAGAGGGTTGAGAACGGAAATCCAGAGCCTCTTCGCCACAGAAGCACAGCACTCACATCGGGCTCCACACACTCTGACGCAGCAACCTGGTCGCTACGCTCAGGAAACATGTCACCCCACCCGTTCGCGTCCGGCCCTTGCCCACGCGCGGTGGGCACGAGGCCGGACAGACATGTGCACAGACACAGTTTGAACCCTGCGGGAGGGCTCCCCCCTGTTCACAGATGAGGAAACGGAGGCTCAGCAGGGAAGGGCTTGCCACCCAGCGGAGCCTCCGACTCCAGGCACTTCCTTTATAGCCACAGTTCAGGGCAGAATTTGGCAGGAGCTGTTCAGGCCCGAGTCACTGCCAGGCCCTGGGGTTGCCCTGGGGACCCGGCTACGTAAGCTCAGGAACCTCGGCTTGGAGAAAGCCAGCACCCCCTTCCTCCCCAAGTCCGCACGCGGTGGCAGGGGGCCCCTGGGGAAACCGGGGAGGTGGGTCTGGGTGGGTCTCCACGGGAGATGGAAAGAAGGCGTGGTGAACGGCACAAGTGAGGAGCCAGCTGTGACTCCATTTATGCAAATGTGTGCCTATCACTGGTTAGGTACATTTTTAAAAGTATTTTGAAAATTTATTTATAGGAAGGGAGAGGGAGATAGAAACATCAATGAGAGAGACTCATTGATGGGCTGCCTCCTGCACGCCCCCGACTGGGGATCGAGCCCGCAATGTGGGCGTGTGCCCTGACCTCCTGGTTCATAGGTCGACCACTGAGCCACACCGGCCAGGCTGGTTATATACATTATGCACAAATGGAAACACAGGTCTGGAAGGAAATGTGTCTCGTACTGGCTACCTCTGGAGGGGCTCATGGAATAGTTGGCAAGGGATGGAGGAAGACTTCAGTGTTACCTCTAATGAGTGTATAATCACTTCTACAATTACCCTATCATCCCTCACCCCAAACCCAGCAGCTCATGTGTGGACTTTGTCCTGTGTGACCCTGGACATGTGACCACCTCTCTGATCATTGTTTCCTCAAAGGCACAGGGAGGTGGACCCACCCTCAGCCTGGGGACAGGACTGAAGACTCCAACCACTGCCATAGCCGGTGTAGCTCAGTGGGTAGAGCTCCCGCCTGCAAACTGAATGGTCCCAGGTTCGATTCCAGTCAAGGGCAAGGACCTTGGTTGCACACTCCCTGGCCCTGGTCGGGGTGCATGCAGGAGGCAACCGATTGACGCGTCTCCCTCACCCTTCCACTCTCTCTAGAAATCAATGGGCAAATATCCTCAGGTGACCCTGAAACCTTCAGCAAGACAGAGCGAATCGGTTCCTGTTTCCAATTCTACCTGCGAGTGGTTTCAGGTTGCGTAGTAACCCTTAGGAACTTGAAAAGACACAGGTGTGTGCGTGCCGCCTTCACACCTGCCCGGAGACAAAGCTGTTTCCGCTGTTTGTGGGGTTTAGGGGAGGAAAAACGGCCCGCGGTCCCCTGAGCGGGTCTCCCTCCGGAGAAGGCCACTCGGCCCCAGGCTGGTGGGGCCTGGGCAGGCAGTGCGGAGCGGACACTGGCCGGGCGGAGGGCACTGGGCTGGGGGCCTGGGTGCTCGGCCAGCTCGGCCAGGGGACACGGGACACAATCCTTAGCCCTCTGCGCTCTGGACTAAGTCCTCGTCTGTGAAACAAGCACTGGGGAGATCCTTTTCTGTCTTTTCCTCTTGATTATCTATAAAAATACCCCGAACTGTAGCAGCAGTGTAACATTAATAATCCTCTTGACAGTAGGTTTTGAGAGTAATTTTTTTAAAATATATTTTTATTGATTTCAGAGAGGGAGAGATAGAAACACCAACGATGAGAGAGAATCATCAGTGGGCTGCCTCCCGCACGCCCCCTACTGGGGATGGAGCCCACAACCTGGGCATGTGCCCTTGACTGGAATCGAACCCAGGACCCTTCAGTCCACTGAGCCCAACAGCCTAGGGCTTGAAAGTGATTTTAGGTCAGTTTGCTGTGGTTGGTCTGAGTGTTTGTGTCCCCCGCTCCCCCCCACTTCCTATGTTGAAAACCTAACAGGCCTCGGGCTTTAGGAGGCGGGCCCTTGGGAGGTGCCGCCAGCAGGATGAGTGCTTTTCTGAAAGGGGCCCTGCCCGTCCTCCTGGGCGGACGTGGAAGTCAGTGGCGGCCAGAAGTGCGGGAAATAAATCGTGTTGCTCATGAGCCACCCAGTCTGTTATGACAAACAGTTCAATGAGATGAAGAGAACACAGGTGGGGGGCAGGGAGGGCAGGGGAAGAGAAACCCAGGGGTCACCTTCTCCCAGTCACAGGGGAGCCCAGGTCCTCAGGGACACCGGCAAGCGGACCTCGTCCTTTCCCATCGCCGCTGGACAGTCAGGGGTCGGTGCCGGTGCCACCTGGTCCCTGGGTAAGTGTAACGAGCATGTGTTCACCCCGGGGGGCTCTCCCTGCGGAGCCCTGAGGCAGGCAGCCCTCGGGGTCTCCTCCTCCCAGGCTGGGGTCTCCCGCAGTGCCTTCCGAGGGCCTCACTCACTCACCAGATTCTGACACCCCTAGGGCCCATCCCTCCACTCAGACTCACTCCAGCCCTTTTGCAGCCTCAACCCCATCTTTACACCCCCTGCAGGCTGGCATGGGGGGGCGGCTCCCTCCTCCAGGCAGGCCTCAGAACCCAGCTGCTCCCCACCAATCAATTGCTCCTCATCTTCCTGGTCCCAGCACTTGGGTAAACAGGCCTGGCTGGGCACTTAGCCCATTAAAGTCTCATTAAATGTTTCCTTGTCTGTCCGCCCCAGCTCAGCGCAGGCCCCAATGAACACGGGCAGCTTGGGAAGCCAGGCAGCTCGGTCACAGAGTGTGGGAGCTGGGCTCAAGGTGCCGGGCAGGCCCGGCTGGGGGACCCTAGACTGGACACACCCTCACCTTCTGCAAAAGGGCAGGCGTAGGACCCTAGCGGGGAGGTAGCTGTGAGCACTGCTCACCCACGGGAAGCTGGCGGCCCGGGAGCCTGGAGCTCCGCCCACGCTGGGCACCCAGGGTCAGACCTGGGTCGGTCCATGGAGTCCATAGCTCGCTCTGCCCTGCCTGGGGGGCCCCCTTCTGAGCTCCAAACCAGACACACAGGTCGCCTCAAATCTTAAACCTCCAGATCACAGTGAGCCTCCCCAATAGCCAGGTGGGATTTTCTTTGCTTTTTTTTGGTTGATGTTAACCCTCACCTGAGGGTATTTTTCCATTGATTTTTAGGGCGGGGGGGGGGGGAGGGGGAAAGACAGAGAAATATCGATGTGAAAGAAACACATCAATTGATTGCCTCCTGCAGGAGCCCTGACCAGGGCCCGGGCCAGGGAGGAGCCTGCAGCCAAGGTACAAGCCCTTGACCAGAATCGAACCCGGGACAATTTGGTCCGCAGGCCGACGCTCTATCCACTGAGCCAGACCGGCCAGGGCGGCTTTTCTTCGCCCAGGAACGTGCACGTCCTCTGAGCCTGGTGACCTGGTGTCTTCTCCTGCCGCCAGAAAAACAGGTTTACCGAGCGGTGCCGCCAGGCCCGCGGTGTTTTGTGTTGTCACATCCTATGTTGACTCTAGGAAAATCAGCTGCCCGCCCTGAGCCGCCCGGGCGGCCCCGGACCTGGCCTCGCTCCTGCGTCGGGGCCAACAAAGGCGACGGGCGGCGGCAGCGGCTGGCCGTGTCAGCGTACTTCCCGTGTCCCTCCCAGGGAGCCCAGCCCCAGCCACCGCTGGCAGCACACAGGGCCGAGGGCCGGCTTCCCGTGGCCGCCAACAACAAGCCCAGCGCCGGGACTTCCTCAAAATTGTCCTGAGCAGCGGGAGAGGCACCGTCCGAGGCCGGGGGAGCAAGGAGCCACTCCCCGTCCCCAAACCTAGTGGGGTCACTACCAACAGGACGCTTTCCGGCAGCGGCAGTGCCTCCGGGTCAGCGTCAGGACACAGCTGGGCGGACCCCTTCCCGCCCCCCTTCCGTTTACTGGACAGACGATGACCAGCGCACACACGGCTGCCGCTGCTCTGCCTTCGCTGCCGCTCAGGGACCCCAGCTCTCCGCCCACCGCCCGCCTGCAGCTGACCGCCACCCACGGCGTCGGCCCCCGGCCCAGCTCCTCCCGGCCGGCTGTGTCTGGTGCTCCTGCTCCCACGGACCCGCGGGCGGCTAAGTCACACCGAGTGAGCCCACGCAGGCCATTTCACACCGTCTGTCGGGTCCTGAAGGCAGCGAAATAAGGTCCCAGGACAGAGGAGGTGGTGGGAGGAGAGGGAGGACAGCGCCTTTACCGCAGGCCAGAGATGGCGGACCTTTTGAGCTCGGCGTGTCAGCATTTTGAAAAACCCTAACTTAACTCTGGTGCCGTGTCACCTATAAAAATCTGTTGATATTTGCAACCACAGTAAAACAAAGACTTATATTTTTTATATGTATTTTATATATTTAAATGCCATTTCACAAAGAAAAATCAACCAAAAAAATGAGTTCGGGTGTTACCTCTGACACGCGTGTCATAGGTTCGCCGTCACTGCCCCAGGCAGTCAGAGAAGACGTCTCAGAGGAGGCGGCCATTGAGCCCAGATGGCAAAGGATGATGAGGGTGACACCCACAGGGGGCATGCGGGGCATGTCCCTCCACTTGTTTTCAGCCTCACACCATCCCGTGGAAGGCCTCACGGGAACCCTGGCGCTTGGAGAAATATCCCTGCTGAGACAGGTCCCACCAAAACCAAGATCAGCTGGCGGCCAACTCAGAAGGTTTATTACATGTGTCTACCCAGCTGGCATGGCTCAGTGGTTGAACGACAACCTATGAACCAGGAGGTCACGCTTCGATTCCCTGTCAGGGCACATGCCCTGGGGTTGCAGGTTCAATCCCCAATAGGGGGGCGTGCAGGAGGCAGCCAATCAATGGTTCTCTCTCATCATTGAGGTTTCTCTCTCTCTCTCTCTTCTCTCTGAAATCACTGAAAATATAATATATATCCCCCTGCCCAGGAAGACATTCTGAGGCACTGGCTAAAACCCTGCAGCTTGGAAGCTAGTCTTCCTAGATACTTAAGACATATTAAAACAAAAACTAAAACAAAACAAAACCAAAAAAACTAGCAACACTAAACTTGTACAGTCTAAGGTTGGTTGGTAAGATTGGAGAAGCCACGGCTAAATGCCTGTGACCTTCAAGTTCAGAAGATGGTGGGAAATCCCCAAGTCCTGCAGTGAGGAGGGAGGGGAAGCGTGGAGGAGAGGTGAAACAGCAGGAAGAGCAAGCAGCACTCAGGAGCCAGCGCCGGGATCTAGGCCCCGCCTCGGCCTCAGACAGACCAGTCAGGGAACAAGTGCAAAACGGTACCAATAATTCAAAAACATGCCACTCCTAAACACTTCTTCCTCAGGCATGCCCAAAAGAAGCAGAATATGGTTAGAGTGTTAACTCCAGGACGCCACTAGCAGTGAACACCGGGGTAGGCGTTCTCCACACGTGGTCGGAAACCTCATGGACCCATTTTACAGAATGAGCAAACTGAGGCCCCGCGGTAGAACAGCCCATCTGAGACGACACAGGTGGGAAGCGACTGGGCAGAGGGTTTCTGCTTGGCTTCCCGAACGTGGCTCTGAGCCTTTAGCCAGGCGGCACTAAGCCCCCTCCTGGGGCCTCGCAGTCTCTCCAGCTGTAAAATGGGAGCCGCCCCAGAGCCGCGGGGGGAGCCACAGGCCGTCTTCCTAAGGAGGGCAGGACCAGGCTGAGCCCCTCCTTGCCGGAGCCGGAGCCCCGCCGACCGACGGAGAAACACTTTCCGGCGCCCAGACAGCAGGTGCGCGGGCAGTGTTACAGCAGCAGCGACACAACAGAACAGCACCGGCCGCCCACCCAGCCCCGGGGCTCGTGCAGCAGAATTACAGGAACAATTAAGCGGTTTACAAACGATTCGCACCCAGGAGCTCCTGCCCGAGCGCGGGGCCGCGGCAGGACTCCCGCGGGTCACCGGAGGGGACGCGGACCGACCGGCGCTGACTCCCGCTTCGCACGCCGCCCCCGCGCAGGTCGCCGGCAGGTGAGTGGCGGCCGCGCCCCGGCCGCGCCAGTTCCCGCTGCGGACTTCCCCGCGCCCCGTCCTTCCCCGCGCCCCGTCCTCGGGCGCGTCTCTAACCCCTGGCAGGTGCGCGGCGACCGGCTGCACCTCCGGTCCCGCGGGGCCGGTGCCCGACGCCATCTTCCCTTTTTAGCGGACGCCCGGCTGGCGCCCCCGCGTCCTGGCCCGGTGCGCACGGAGGAGACGGGTGCCCGGCGCCCCGGAGGCCGCGCCGGAGGGCGGAGCGGGACGACGAGTCATCCGGTCCTCCCGGCGGGGCGCTTAGGGGCCGCCCCTTCGCTCGGATGCGGAGACGAGGCCCGCGGGGACCCCAGGTCCCCGCCAGAGAGGGGGAGTCTCGGAGCCAGGGTCCCGCAAGCGCCACACCCGACAGCTGCTGGGGACGGACGCACCAGACACGGTCTCCGCCCTCCCAGCCGCTCGCCACCCAGGGCAGCGCCCGAGGCTCGGGCTCCGGGCTCGGGCGGGGCCCAGGGGCGGGCGACGGCGGGGTGAGGGTCCGGCAGGGAAGGCCGGGCGCGGACTCACCGGGCGTCGGTGGTGGCGGTGCCCAGGGTGGCGGTGCCCGCGGCGCTCCAGCCAGGAGGCGTCTGGTGTGCGCCGGCGGCCCGCGCGCTGCCGTATAAGCCGCCCGCCCCGCCCGCCCGCCCCGCCCCGGGCCGCCTCCGCCGCCGCCTCGCGCCGAATCCGGGATCGCGAACGGCCGACTCGCTACAGTGTCGCGGCCACTTGTTGACATGTCCCCCCCTGCGCTCCGCGTCCCAGCTCGTGTGCGTGCGGGGTGCACGCCGCGCGCCCGGGACACCTGTGGCCGAGCCCCGCATCCTTCGTCCCGCAAGCGGTGCTCAGGGCGCGGCGCACTTCGTGCCGTCTCAGCCGGACGCGGGCGCAGGGAGGACGAAATGACTTGCTCAATAAAAACCGGGAATTCATCGCCCCGATATTCACGCTCTTGGTGCTGGAAGCCCCGGGAGTTAGGTCCTGTTTTGGTTTTAAATTTTCTTATTGTGGTAAAATACGCATAAAATGTACCACCTTAACCACTTTAAAGTGTTCCGCCCGGTGGCGTGAAATAATTCAAAACGTGCAGCCGTCGCCGCCTTCCAGCTCCGTAACTTCCCATCGAGTATAAGACCCCTGTACCCACGAAACAACCCGCTGCCTGGCTTCCTCCACCCGCGCCCCCTCCCGCCCCATCCTTCCCGCTGCACCGCTCACAGCACCCCCATTTTCCTGCCTCCCAACAGGGGGCTCTGCAAGCCCCACTCAAGGGTTCCTGGCCCCAGGGGGAAATGGGGGGCAGAGACCGCCCCCAAAGGCCCTGAGAGGGAAGAGAAATCAGAAAGGCTCCTGGTGGTGGGCCCAGCGGGCAGGTTGGGGAGGGGTGGAGCCTGGGGGGGGAGGGGGGAGCCTGGGGGGAGGGTCTCTGTTGGAGGTGGAGGGGCTGGAATTACAAAGTAACCATTGTCCCAGGAACACAACAACAAGGCTGTTTACGTCGGTCCTGCAGCCGCGAGGACCGGAGCAGCGGGGTCCAGGGGGCTCCCTGCTGCTGGTTCTTTCACTTGCTACCTGTTGGGCCCCCCTCGCCCCTTCCCGCCTCTGTACAGACCAGTGTCACCTACTTTTCCCTCTGTGTGCTCATCTGAGAAATGGGAGGACAGCACCCGACACCCCCTCCCACCCCTAACCCCCAAGCACACCTCCTCCCCCCACCCCTAGATCCCCAGGCTGGGCGGGGAGAGTCAGAGGAGATAATCCTAAAATGTTTCCAAACTCTGCCTCTTCCTCCCTGGGAGCTCTTCTGGCCTCACATGGCTGTGTGATCCTTTCTTTGATCTCCCCCCACCCCCACCCTGCTCCAGCCCCCCAAATACCGTTGTCTCCCAGCCCCACAAAGTCTGGATGGCACCGACCCTCCCTAACAACCACAGGGCCTCTCCCCAAGTTCACTCTGCATTTGGAAAAACAGACTCTGGGGAGGGGCGACCCTGGGTCCCAGGGGCCCAGGTGTGTGAGAATGTGAAGGCACAGTGCCAGGCACATCCTAGGTGCTCTGTGAACATTAGCAAAACTGGTGGAGGGAGGACAGTTTGGGGACAGATGGGAGATAGGAAGGCCCTGGGGAGGGGTAGGTGAGAATATCCTTGCAGGGCCTGGAGACAATATGCTGATCCACGGACAGGAGGAGGAAAACAACTTTTGAATAAGAATTGGGCCTGCAGGAAACCCTGGCTTCTTCCCAGCCCCAAGTAGGCCTTGGGGTAGAAGATGAATGACAATAGCAATAACAGCAATAATGGCCACTGCCATCCCACCGCCTGTTCAGGTCCCCCAATCTCAGGACTAAGCACCTTTTCTGATCTGGAATCCTTACAACTGCTGCCTGGAGCTGGCCCCCTCCCCCCCCCCCCAAACCCCCCTACAGACACCAGAGCACCTCCAGGGGTCAGTGCACAGGCAAAAGAGAACTTGTAACCCCATTTTACAGATGAGAAGACTGAGGCTCTGAAAAAGGAGGCCACTTACCAGAGCCCATCCAGCCTGTGGGCAGCAGAGTCGTTCAAGCCCAGGTCTCCCCACACCTCCTGCCCTCCCCACCCCTCCACGGCTGACCCCAGCCGTCCTGGGCCTTAGTTTCCCTTTCTCCACGGGGAGCTGCTGGCCTTCCCAGCGCCATGGGACTGTGTGTGGAGTCTGAGCCCTTTCTTCCCTGGGGGCCCCTTCCCCAGAGCCCCTCCTGCTGAGGCCATGACGCTGCCCAGCAGGCCTTGCGGCACCAACATAGGGTAGAGTTCTGTCCTTGATAGGACTTTTTTTTTTTTTATCATTCCCATAACAGGTACTGAATGGCACCTACACTACGCCAGGCAGGGCGGTAGATGATGGGGATCTAGTCTAGTGGGGGGGGCCCATACCCAAGTGGGGGAGACAGTGGAGACAGGGCGCTGGGCAGCGTGGCACAGGCCACACTCATAGGGAGAGCGAAGCCGGGGAGGGTGTGAGAATTGGGGGGGTGGGGGGTGGGGGCCCTTAGCCAGTGCTCCGGGGAGTCTTGTAGGGTCTGACCTCAGTGCAAAGCCTGGAGAGAAGCGAGGACACGGCTTTCTGGAGTGCGGGGCGGGGGCGGAGGGGAGCGGCCCATGGGAGGGCTGGCCCAGCATCCACGCAGGTGTTCAGTGGCCCTGTTTTTCCACTTGTCACCCCAGACCTTTGTCCTCAGCCTTGGGACACCTTATCTCAGTGGCTCCCAGAGGAGGGCACACGCCACAGGGGGCAGTTTGATTCTTAAGGCGGGCAATTCTAGAATTAGTTAACAGTGAATTTTGTGCATTTCTTATGGTTCTAGCGGCCTCCTATACAGCATATAAATATATATTGTGACATACATGCATTTCAGTTCTCTATTATGTTTTGAAACTTTATTTGCTATTTTTTCATATCACTTCATATTATTATTTTAACAATTTCTTAGTGGTTTCTTCCTCAGCACTTCAACTGTCCTTTCGTTCTTTTATTTTTCTCTTTCATGGACGCCATGTTCTTTGGAAGCCTGTTTAGATCAAGTTAATGGCCTTTCAGGCTTCCTCCGTGTGCACAGGAGTCACTGTTTGAAGAATAAGAATTCTGTGTCACAGGGAAGGGGCATCCGGATGTAGAGATGTCGGGTGGGCGTGGCCACAAGAGGGTGGAACCACTGCCTTGGGAAAACCCTGGGGCTCCCAGGGGCCTGGCAGAGAGGAAGGGCCCTTCCCAGGGCTTTGCTGTTCTCTCGGAGCCGCAGCCCGAGGGCCGAGGGCCGGCTCCACTCCAGGCGTTTCCCCTCGACTGCCTGGTGGACACGGGGGGGGGGGGGGGGGGGGGGGGGGCCCTGCCCTGGATGGGCCTCTAGTGCCTGGTGTCGCTCCCCCGCAGGGTAGGTCTCCCGGTGGCACTGGCGAGGAAACTGACGCTCAGGAAGGGATCCCAGCAGGTCCACGATAATCTGCTGAGTGAGGGACAGGAGAGGAAAACATCTTTTTTCTTTTTTTAAAAAATATATTTTATTGATTTTTACAGAGAGGAAGGGAGAGGGATAGAGAGTTAGAAACATCGATGAGAGAGAAACATCGATCAGCTGCCTCCTGCACATCCCCAGGGGGTGTGCCCACAACCAAGGTACATGCCCTTGACCGGAATCGAACCTGGGACCCTTCAGTCCGCAGGCCGACGCTCTATCCACTGAGCCAAACCGGTTAGGGTGGAAAACATCTTTTGAATAAGAGTCGGGCCAGCCGAACCGGTTTGGCTCAGCGGATAGAGCGTCGGCCTGCGGACTGAAGGGTCCCAGGTTCGATTCCGGTCAAGGGCATGTACCTGGGTTGCGGGCACATCCCTACTGGGGGGCGTGCAGGAGGCAGCTGATCGATGTTTCTCTCTCATCGATGTTTCTAACTCTCTATCCCTCTCCCTTCCTCTCTGTAAAAAAATCAATAAAATATATTTAAAAAAAAAAAAAAAAGAGTCGGGCCTGCAGAAGACCCTGGCTTCTTATCACTCCACAGCAGGCCTTGGGGTCGATGAGGGATGATGTTTTCTGTCTGAGGCTACACAGCCCGGAGGGCCGGGGCTTAAACCCAGGTCTCTCTGGCCCGTCTGACTTGGGGGTCTGGGGAGGAAAGCTGCAGCCTGGTCAGGAGCAGGGTCACTCAGCCCTGAGTTTGAGTCTGTCCCAGGGCGGCGGTAAGGATGAGGCCCCTGCACACAGTAGGTGGGGCCTGGCACACAGTAGGTGGTGAGTAAGCCCGAGGCTGTTAGTAAGGGGTCCCCTGCAGAGGAGTTGGACATTTTCACAAAAGAAACTGTCTCTTAGAGATGCATCACCTAGTAAATAAAATAGGACATTTTACAATCAGTACATCCAGTACCAGCCCAGATTTCTTTTTTTAATCAATATCTAAAAAGCTTGGAAGGAAATACAGTGGAACCTCGTTTTTCAAACTTAATTCGTTCCAGAAGCCTATTCCAGAGAGGAAGGGAGAGGGAGGAGGGAGGGAGGGAGGGAGAGAGAGAGAGAGAGAGAGAGAGAGAGAGAGAGAAACATGGGTGAGAGAGAAACTTCACCGATCAGCTGCACGTGTCCTGATCTGGAATCGAATGGGTAACCTCTTGGTTCCTGAGTGGAAGCTCAACCACTGAGCCACGCACGACTCCCCTTTGCCCTTTCTTATATACAAACGTGTCTAATGGGCTGCTTACTCTATAAATAAACACTTCTTTTCTTACATTTATTGAGCCACACCCTACGAGCCTTAAACAAAATTCTCACACATCCCTGCCTCGGAAACGCTACCCCTGGCTCACTGCTAGCGTTGACCCCATGGACAGCAGCTTCCTACCCACCAGCGGCCTGGGATGGTTGTTGTGTGAGCACTTTCCCACCCGCAGCAGCATTCGCACTCTCCTGGCCTCGTGATGTTTTCAACTTGTGCTGATCGCCGTCCTCTCCTTGGCTTGTTGCCTGAGACCCCTTCTGTCAGGCTGAGGTGCCAGCGTGGAAGAGCTGTGCGGTGGAAAACTGGAGTTTTGGCTGAGACATTGCTTCTGTGAACAGTTTGGTGGAGGACTGAATCACT